ACTAGAGGGCTCGTCTTACGCTGCTCTGCTTGGCAAGCACAACACTTTCACTAGATTGTATGTGACAGATCAATAACATAACCTGTTCTCAAGATACCCTGGTTCACTCTACCTGACTGCACATAATCTTGCTGAAATCCAGGAACATCATTTGTTTGTATGTTTGTTTGAGGGTGGCTTGGGGCATTGAGGGGGATTATGAGGAGATAACCCCTTCCCACACCACCAAGCCATCCTTTGGCACCAGCCCTAGCTGCCAGGCCCAGCAGATGGTAATTACATGGTAGTTGTATGGTAGTCACTAGGTGGCTTCAGGTTCTCTAATCTTTGTTAGAGGCCAAGACACTCCAGTTCCCACATCCAGAATTCCTTCTGCCTTGGGTGGTACTTGGGCTTTCTGCCTCTGTGACTATGGGCTGATCAACATCACTTCCTCAAGAAATGAGGACTCCTACAGCCAGATTCCATCTGTTCTCCAGAGCCTTAGTCTCTCGAACCCTGCCCTTATCTCCATGGGTTCATATGTTGATTTGAAAGTTTAAGGGTGGGCACGGTAGCTCACGCCTATAATCCCAGCACTGTGGGAGGCCGAGGCGGGCGGATCACCTGAGCTCAGGAGTTCGAGACCAGCCTGACCAACATGGAGACACCCCATCTCTACTAAAAATACAAAATTAGCCAGGCATGGTGGTGCATGCCTGTAATCCCAGCTACTCGGGAGGCTGAGGCACGAGAACTGCTAGAACTCAGGAGGTGGAGGTTGTGGTGAGTCAAGATCACACCATTGCACTCCAACCTGGGCAACAAGAGCAAACTCCGTCTCAAAAAAAAAAAAAGTTTAATTCTCGGCTGGGAATCTTACTGCCAGTTTCTAGGGAAGAACACAAAATGGCAATACTTACAACCCTTTGCTACCCCATTTAATAAATGCTGACTGAGGATAAGTTAAGTTCTTTCTACCATGAACAAGGTCTACCATTATAAGGTTTTTTCCACTTTCTTACCAGTATGTTTAAAGCAGTTTGTTTTTAAATTTGTCTTGTCTCCAAAACTTTCATACCTGAACTAGCATGGCCATGCTCGGGGCCCATTCCTCTCCTTCTAGCTAGAAAAGTACAGAAATTCAACATCCCTTAATTTCCCTAGAGGCTGGTCTCCTCCCAGAAACTTACATTTCCTTAAGACATCCCATTCTCTCTCTTCTTCACCACCTCCATTGGTTCTTTTGTGCCTTTCAGCCTGTCACATAACAGTGTCTCTTCCCTCCATCCTACCATGGGGCCAGCACTGACAATCAGGAGCCAAGGAAAACTGGTCAACCTTCTCACCAAATAGACTGAATATTAAAATTCAAACCTGAAACACTGTAACATTTATATTGGTAGAATGCCTATCTTTACGGATCAAATGGTACCAAATCTTTGTGTGTAAACAACAACAAATAACTAGGCTCAAGTTTGATTCTTTTTACTAACCTTTATCAAGTCCTCTACTTCATGGAAGTCCTAGATGGGGGGGAAAAAAAACAAAATTATTATAAAACAGGAGAGCTGTCAGTTGTACACGGCTTAGGGCAATAATCACAAAGAGCTGACCTGGGGGTAGACTGGATAAAGAGGCAAGTCCAGGACGATGCCATCCTCTGCTTGTCTGGCCCTTAGTTCTCCACTCAGAGTGACAAACGTGAGTGTGCTATTCACGTTTTCTGGCCAAAATAGGAATCAAGAAATAGGAAATCAACTTTGTCATATATGTACATGTCCATTTCAAACACCTTTGCATTGTCTTAAGATTTTCTGGCAATGCCATCCTTTTCTATGATGGAGCGAGGTTTGCGTTGCTGGGGTCTAGAATGGAGAAAACTCTCACTAGATTTTAACTTGAGAACCAAGAACAAAACTGATTGGATATGGCGTCATACTTCAAGTCTTCAGATCCCAGCTCTTTACTGCTTACTGTGCCCTTACTAACTTAGCCTCCTTTTTTTTTCTCTTGAGACAGGGTCTCACTGTGTTGCCCAGGCTGGAGTACAGTGGTGCGATCTCAGCTCACTGTACCCTCTGGGCAACAAGAGCAAACTGCACCCTCACTGTTGCCTCCCATGTTCAAGTGATTCTCCCACCTCAGCCTCCCAAGAAGTTGGAATTACAGGTGTGCACCATCACACCCAGCTAATTTTTGTATTTTTAGTAGAGACGAGGTTTTATCATGTTGGTCAGGCTGGTCTCAAACTCCTGACCACAAGTGATCCACCTGCCTCAGCCTCCCAAAGTGCTTAGATTATAGGCGTGAGCCACCACACCTGGCCAGCCTCCTTAAATCTCAGTTTCCTCATCTATAAAATGAGGTTAATACATTAAACCTACCTTTTATAATGTTTTCTCTTTCTTTGAGGAACTGTCTCACTCTGTTGCCCAGGCTGGGGACTGGCTCACTGCAGCCTTAACCTCCTGAGCTCAAGCAATCCTCAGCCTCCCGAGTAGCTGGGACTACAGGCATGAGCCATAATGCCTGGATAATTTTTAAATATTTTGTAAAGACAGGGTCTCACTATGTTGCCCAGGCTGGTCTCTAAGTTCTAGACTGAAGTGATCCTCCTGCCTTGGCTCCCAAAGTGTTGGGATTACAGGCGTGAACCACTGCACCTAGTCTAAAATGTTTCTAACACAGATTTTAAAATATCCTGCAGCAACAACCATAGAGTCATAACCTCTTCTAATCTAAGACATGCCAAGGGAATAACAAAACATTTAAGTTGTAAATATCAGTCTTATATGAAATAAATGTGGTTTAGCCTAAATAAACCAAACTTTTTACACAGCAATGTGATTTAAAGAATGCACCACAAATACTGCCACCCCCTGTTACTGATACAGCTTGGGCTACTTATCAGTATGTATAACATTTTTAGTGAAAACAAAGAATGGTGACCTAATTCTTTTCTCTCTCTTAATATTTCTGTAAAACTTAAATCACATGTCAAAGGTGAAGAACTCTGACTTATTAACTTTCATTGAGCATAAAATTGACATTTGGAAACACAAAGCTTAATTTTTCTCATTATGATCGATGTAAGACATTACTATTTACAAAGCATTTTTTCATATCTTATCTTATCTAACCTTAAGACTGCCCTATAGGGGGTTCCAGGGTGTTATTATTCCAAACCTCAGCATCAAACCAACCCATGTGGAGTCCAGTTTTCAAAAGACACTCAATCTTGCTTTGGGAGGTAGAGGCAGGTGGTTCACCTGAAGTCAGGAGTTTGAGACCAGCCTGGCCAACATGGTGAAACCCCATCTCTACTAAAAATACAAAAATTAGCCAAGCGTGGTGGCAGGCACCTGTAATCCCAGCTACTTGGGAGGCTGAGGCAGGAGAATCGCTTAAACACAGGAGGCAGAGGTTGCAGTGAGTCGAGATCTTGCCATTGCACTCCAGCCTGGGTTACAAGAGCAAAACTCCATCTCAAAAAAGACAAAAACAAAAAAACAAAAGACACTCAATTTAATTTCAGTAAATCTTATTTTTCAAGACTCAATTCCTAAACATTTCAGAATGTCTGCTTGCCTTTGCACGTGTCCCCTATCCACAGATACCAAAATCATCTTTTTGAAATGTATATTGAATTATATTATATGGCCTCTCAACTTTATCCCTGCCAATCATATAGACAGGTCCCAGGGGCTTTGTACTTGCTAGCCTCTGCCTGGGATGCTCCTCCTCTCACTCTAGCTCGTCCCACAGATGCTTCATCTTATCCTTTAGCCCAAAGTTCCCCTTCTCTAGTGGGTGCTGATCCAGATTTTATGTCTGACCCATGGCCTCAGGACTGGGACTCCATGAGGCAAGGAAGTACCATAAGGTACGAAATGTAAGGAGGCACCTGCTCTCAGCTGCAACCTGGGGCCTTGCTGGCTCTGCCTACACCCGGCCCTGACCCTGCTTGCCCAGAGTGCTGGTGGCCTACAGCTCTCAACTGAGTCACTCTCTTGGAGTTACCCTTGGCTGAGTAGAGCTACCTTGCCCAAAGTCATACATCTTTTCCAGGTTTTGGGGACTGGTCCATGGAGGACAAAAAGGCCTGAATCTCTGCCTCTACTTGGAACTATACTACTTGAAAAAATGTCCAGCTTTAGAGCTCCCCATGGATTTGGCCTAGGCCTTTCTTTGTTGCTACTACTCTGCAGTTCAATTTCTCCCTCTATTCAATCCTGCTTTCTT